CAGCTGAGCTGGGCCAGGGACCGGCTTCCTCATCGTCAAATTGAAACTGCTTTCCTGCACTTCAGAATGTGATCCAGGACTGTCTGACATTTCCTTAGCACATCAAGACGAGTGGCTGGTACATGTGGACCTAGCCCTCAGGCGGCACAAATTTCCTGGCTCTGTACTGACACCCCATGGAATCTACTGGTAAAAGGACTTTAGATTTCCCCAGTGCCTTTCTTCCAAAATCACTCAGAATACTCTTATATAATTTACTGGCTTTTAAGAGTAGATAATAGTTTTGTGTTTCTTTTTCTGTTAGTATTTCAGGACATTTTCTCCTAGCTGCAGTCACAAGTACTTTTTTACTAAAGTGTTACTATCATTTGATCATCGTCCGCCATCTTGTACATTAGCCCATCCATGAAGAATACATCTCTGAGTCCCGGGAGAAGAAGTCTTCCCAGCTGTGTGATTCTAAGGATGGCCGTGAGACCCTCTGCCAACAGCAGTCATGGGTAGAGACTAGGCTTAGAGGATCACTCTCAGTAAGTGAGTCATGGGTAGAGACTAGGCTTAGAGGATCACTCTCAGTAAGTGAGTCATGGGTAGAGACTAGGCTTAGAGGATCACTCTCAGTAAGTGAGTCATGGGTAGAGACTAGGCTTAGAGGATCACTCTCAGTAAGTGAGTCATGGGTAGAGACTAGGCTTAGAGGATCACTCTCAGTAAGTGAGTCATGGGTAGAGACTAGGCTTGGAGGATCACTCTCAGTAAGTGAGTCATGGGTAGAGACTAGGCTTGGAGGATCACTCTCAGTAAGTGAGTCATGGGTAGAGACTAGGCTTAGAGGATCACTCTCAGTAAGTGAGTCATGGGTAGAGACTAGGCTTAGAGGATCACTCTCAGTAAGTGAGTCATGGGTAGAGACTAGGCTTAGAGGATCACTCTCAGTAAGTGAGTCATGGGTAGAGACTAGGCTTAGAGGATCACTCTCAGTAAGTGAGTCATGGGTAGAGACTAGGCTTAGAGGATCACTCTCAGTAAGTGAGCTGCTGCTTACAGCTTGCTACAGTGAGACAAGTTGAGTACTGTAGGGTTTTAAAGGTGAGGGAAAGGGCAAATGTGGCATTTCTGAAGGGGTACCAATCTCAAGAGCCACCACTGCCTTGTATTTTAGCAGACAAAGCCAGGGCAAGCTTCTTCATGCATCAGCTGAATGAACAGCAATTTGAGCATAGGGTCATGAAGGGTCTCTCTGTGCAGCCCTGGCTGTCCTGGAACTCATTCTGGCTGGCCTCGAACTTGGAGATCTGCCTGTCTGCCTCCTGAGCACTGAGATTAAAGGTGTGCACTACCACCATGCTGCATATTATATTGCACACATGTACACACATAACAGGGATTTATTGATACAGTTATAAAGGAGGGTAAGGAACCTCCTAATGCCTAGCCTCTATTATATCTCAGCCTCATATCTCAGAGCTGGCATTACATACACTTCTTTCTTTTACAACGAAGTTTTCCCAGACTTACATCCCAATTTCAGAAAACAGACATCTTTTTCTGTATCAGAATTCCTTTGTTTCTATGCTCCATAATTTTCTTCTGTAAATTTGAGGTACACAGTGTCACAACTAGGACACACAGACCCATCCTCATAAAGCAGAGAGTGGATGGGGGAGGATGTGGAGAAGTTTCTAGAAGCACTGCTAGTTCTTCCTCCTACCCCTGCCTCCTGCTGCAGATGGCATGGGGTGCTGAACAGAAAGGAGAGGGAAGCCTTCCCAGAGTGAGAACAGCCAAAGCAATGAGAGCAGCAGCTGAATACAGCCTTCACCTCCAGCCAAGGTGTTCTCCAGCCCTGCTCAGATGATGCCTGTGAACCATCTTTACTGTAGGCTCAGATCTGATTGGTCCAGAGCCCAAATCACAATACTAGCCTAACAGAACTCCAGAAAACAAAGCTGTGTCGTTTCTATCTGCCAGAGCATCTGGTTTTCTTGTTTTGTTGTTCCTACTTTTTCAATAATAGCTGGTTCTCACTGGCAAGGTATTAGGTGGGTCAGATATGGCCAAACCTGATATAGTTGTGAAATCATTCTTGTAAAAATGAACCTTACTTTAACAGAAGCATAATAGTGGGGGGGGGGGCAGATGCTCTTGACATCTTGAGATGAACTGCTGTTCTGTTCTGGTTCTTCAATCCTGAAAGGTACTCATTCAGGCTGATGTACTTTCCAATGAGGTTTTTTGAGTTTACTACCCATAACTCCAACATTTTCCTGTCTTGAGGGAAGGGTGTCTATTCCCCCACAGCAGAGTTTTAGATTACTTTTTAAAGTTGTTAATCTACAGGATTGAGACAGAAACATGAAAGCTAGTTAAAGTTAAGCACATGCAATTCTGTTAGGAGGGATAATTGCTTCTGATTGTTTTGACAGGGCTTTAGACTTCGTAGCTGTGTTCTCTCACAGATGACAACCCAGGGGAAAAAGGCCCCAGGCTGGAGAATGTGTAATTGTACAGTCAATATCATCAATGTACTATATAAAATCTGTAGTATATACTTAGAAATGAAAAAAAACTTTTACAATTATTTTTGTACTACAAAAGAATATACCACTGTACTATATTTGAATTAAATTTTACTGTTTGGTTCTTTTCATGTGTGCTTATGTTTATGCAGGTGTGCTTGCAATGTAGAAGTTAGAGATGAAGTTGAGTGTCTTATCTCTTTGCATCTTATATGTATAAGAGATTTACTTTATTATGTTATGTATGTGGATGTGTGCACATGAATGCAGACACTCGTGAAGGTGAGAAGGGCATCGGTCCCTTTGGAACTGACTCACAGGCTGTTGAACGGCCTGACATGAGTGTTGGGAACTGTAGCCTCCTGTGACAGTATTTGCTCTTAGCCCTGAGCCATCTTCAGCCCTCGTGGCCTTAAGGTTTTAGAACTGGGTCTCTCACTGAAGTTGGACTGACTCATCTGGCAGGACTGGCTAACCAGCATGGCGTCGGGTTCCTCCTGACTTCTCCCCGACTGCTATGACGATGGCACATGCCAGCATGCCTAGCTTCTGGCATGGTGCTGCAGACCTGAACTTATGTGTGCATAGCAAGCACTTTTTTTTTTTTTTTTTTTTGGTTCTTCGAGACAGGGTTTCCCTGTGGCTTTGGAGGCTGTCCTGGAACTCGCTCTGTAGACCAGGCTGGCCTCGAACTCACAGAGATCCGCCTGCCTCTGCCTCCCGAGTGCTGGGATTAAAGGCGTGCGCCGCCAACGCCCGGCAGCAAGCACTTTTCTGACTGAGATATTTACCCAGCCCTATTATTTGATTCTAATCATGCTATCTTTTGCCTACATGTATGTTTGTGTGAGGGTGTCCCCTGGAACTGGAGATAAAGATGGCTGTGAGCTGCCATGTGTTTGCTGGGAATTGAACTTTGGTCTACTGGGAGAGCAGCCAGTGCTCTTAACTATTGAGCTATGTCTCCACTCTCCACATGTGTCTTGAATGTGTCATATGTAGACAAGTTTGCAAACTTGTGAGCATCAGAAACTTCTTAAATATAATTTGAATGTCAGCCAGGTGGTGGTGGTGCACGCCTTTAATCCCAGTACTTGGGAGGCAGAGACGGCAGATCTTTGTGGTTTGAGGCTAGCCTGTTCTACAAAGCAGATGCCAGGACTGTTACACAGAGAAACCCTGTCTCAGAGAAACCCTGTCTCAAAAAACCTCTCTCTCTCTCTCTCTCTCTCTCTCTCTCTCTCTCTCTCTCTCTCTCTCACACACACACACACACACACACACACACACACACACACACACACACACACACACATCTTAATGTCTTATGTATATCTAAGGGCTGCCCAGGGGGTTTTAAGCTAAATTCAGGTGAGGGCAACAGACATAAACAGTGGATAGCCTTTATCATATTTTATGTACAGAGCTTGGGGCTGCCTGTTTTGCCTCCTGACAAAGATACAACCACCACAATTGGCTGCTTATTTAAGTTCTTTTATTTGTATTGGCTTTTCTTTTAGACAGGGTCTCATGCCACCCTGTAGTGGAAGATGACCTCGAACTTCTTATCCTTCTCCCTCCACCTCCCAAGTGCTGGGATCACAGCATGGGCCATCCATCATTCCTGATCATTTGAGTTCTTCAAGATACAGCATGGAGCCAGGTGCATGGTGGTGCACGCCTTTAATCCCAGCACTCTGGAGGCAGAGGCAGGTGGATCTCTGTGAGTTCGAGGCCAGCCTGGTCTAAGAAAGAAGAAACAACATGCATGGCCTTACTTGATGGCTTTCACAGGGCAGCTCAGCAATTCCATTTCTTGCTCAAGAGACATACAATCACAATATGCACAAGGATGACACTTTGACCTGCTGTTGTCAGGAACAGCCTGAACACAATCCAAGGAGCCCTGGATAAAATGAGAGAATAGACTCTGAAGTCACAGTGGAATGTTATACAGTACACACTACAGGTTCTTGCAGCAGTATGAGTGAATCTTACTAATACTGTGCCTACAGAAATAATGTTTCATAAATTAAAGATGACTAAAATGAACACAGATACTAGAAAGGAAACAGGAAGACGAGCACAGAAGTCTATGCAGGTTATCAAGCTAGGGAGCCAGGAGCTGGCATGGGAAGAGACCACATAGGCTACCAACCAATTCTAGTTTTCATGTGGTTGGTGAGTCACAGGCAGAGTTAAGGTTGCAGAAAGAAAAGAAAAAGAGAAGAAAAGAAAAAGGAAGCTAACAGTCAGCCAGCCTAATATAGGGATCTTGTCAGGATTCTCTGCTGGACCCAGTGTAATCACAGAGGTCCTTGAAAGTGGGAGTAGGGAGTCTGGGTGTGGTGGCACACACCTTTAATCCCAGCACTTGAGAGGTAGAAGTAGACTGATCTCTGAGTTCGAGGCCAGTCTGGTTTACAAAGTGAGTTCCAGGACAGCCAGGGCTACACAGAGAAGCCCTGTCTTGAGAAAAATGGGGGGAGTGAGGGAAGACTGAGATGGAAACTTGCGGATAGTTCAGCCAAGGCTGCTAGCTCTGCAGATGGAGGAAGAGAGCCAGGAGCCGAGGGCTGAGGATCTCCAGAAGCTAGCTCTTCCATTGGAGCGTCCAAAAGGGACTTAATTTTAGCTCAATCAAGCCTGTCTTCAGACTTGTGACTTAGTAAGATTGTTGCTCTTAGTCAGTGTTCTATGTAATTTTAGTGGCCACTGGAAACTAGTGCTATTGAAACAACTCTAGGCCGCATTGCTGAGTCGGAACAAGTGGGTCACAAAATAACATTCTGATGTTGCTCTGGTTTGGATGTGTCACTGGGCATTCCTGTGGTAGTCCCCAACACAACACTGGTAGATGGACCTTTCCCTGTGTCTAAGTGGGAGTACCCTAAGGCTAGACTATTGGTGCTCTAAAAAGAGCTGGCTACACTCACTGTGTCCCATTCCTCTCTTTCACCAAATGGTGACCAGCAAGAAGCCACGGGGCACGGTGCACACACTCTGATCTAACACTTGGGAGCTAGATGCAGGAAGATAGTGAGTTCAGGCTCAGTCTCAGCTTTATAACAAGTTTCAATACCTTGACTACAGGAGACAGTGCCTTTAAAGATTTCATTTTTATTTTAAGTTATGTGTATACTTATGTGTCTGTGTTGGTTTGTACAAGTGAATAAGGTTCCCTTAGGGGTAAGATGAATGCATCAATCCCCTGGGGATGCAATTGAGAGCAGTTATGAGCTGCCTAATATAGATGCTGGGAACCAAACAAGTCCTATGCAAAAACACTATTTACTAGTAACTGCCAAGCCAGCTCTCCAGCCCAATGAAACCCTTGTCTTTTTTTTTTTTTCCGAGACAGGGTTTCTCTATTGCTTTGGAGGCTGTGCTGGAACTCGCTCTGTAGACCAGGCTGGCCTCGAACTCACAGAGATCCGCTTGCCTCTGCCTCCCAAGTGCTGGGATTAAAAAGGCGTGCACCACCAATGCCTGGCTGAAACCCTTGTCTTTAAAGCCAAAGGAGAGCTAGGTGTGATGGCATATGCCTTTCATCCCAGCACTGAGCTGAGACAGGTAGATTTTCTGTGAGTTCAAGACCAGCCTGGTCTACATAGCAAATTCTAGGCCAGTCAGGGCTATACATGAAAAATCTGTCTCAAAAATAAGATGAACCAAAGGGGAAGGGTAGCAAAAACTCTCCAGATACAGGCACCTCAATTTGAACTTGGACCCCAGAATCATGAGAAAATGTGTTTCTGTTATTTCATTATTTGCAAACTACCCAGTCTCCAGTTGTGTACAGCAGGACAAAACAAAGTTATGACTCCATTCCTGTGTATTTATTTACGTGTGTATGCACAGGGACTTCAAGAGCAGTGTCCTACAAAGTTCAATCTGGACTTCTGCTAACAACCATTATGCCTCTATTAGAAGCTAGGGATGTAGTTCAGTAGGATGAATGCTTGCCAAACATGCGTGAGTCCCTGGGATCCATCCCCCCAGCCCTGTACAAACAGGCACAATGGTTCACTTTTCTAAAACCAGTACTCTTGGGAGATGGAGGCAGAAAAGCAAGTTCAAGGTCATCCTTAGCTACATAGTGTGCTGAAGGCTAGCCTGGGCCACTTGAGAACCCGTGTAAAAAACAAAGCAAGACAAAACATTACCTTCTAATAGTAACTGAACTGGGAAAGTTTTTGTTGTTTTTGTTTGACAAACAAAAGACAGATGTAGGCAGTTATGGGTATAGACTCAATGGTAATAAGATTTGAATGCAGTTAACATTCTGACAATTCCAACAGAGGGCCATGATGACATTTAAATAGTAGTGTCAATTAAGACCCTGTGCCTCATAGTTTTTAAGACCACTGAGTATGATCTAGTGTGTGCTATCACCTGAATAAATATCAACAGGGTATTATAAAAACTGGCTGGGAAGTTAAGATACATGCATATGTTAGTTACCATTACTGCACATTTGCCATATCTCATGGAATTATATTTAAAACAAGGGGCTTAGGGGCATACAATGGTTTTTTTATTTTTGTTTTTTCTTGTGGTTTTCGAGACAGGGTTTCTCTGTGTAGTGCTAGGATTAAAGGCATGTGCCACCACTGCCTGGCATGTAATATTGTTATTTTTAAAAAGGAAGTTTGGCAAGATGGTGCCACAGGTAAAGGTGTTTGCCTCTACAGTGGTTTTCAACTTTCCTAATGCTGGGACCCTCATGTTGTGGTGAACCCAACCATAAAATTATTTTTGTTGCTACTTCATAACTGTAATTTTGCTACTATTATGAATTGTAATATAAATATCTGTGTTTCCGATGGTCTTAGGTGACTCCTGTGAATGGGTCATTTGACCCCAAAGGGGGTCACAACCCACAGGCTGAGAAGCACTTTTCTATGAAGTCTAGTGGGTGACCTGCGTTCCACCTTCACTCATGTGAAGGTAGAAAGAGATAACCGACTCTACAAAGTTGTGCTCCAACTGTCACGTGCATATGTGGTATACACAAACACACATGTAACTCCCACACACACATACAGTAATAAATGTTTAAATGGTTGACTAAAAACAAAAACAAAAATCTATGTTTTAAGCATTTGCTCTCTGTGTGACGACAACTACCATTCGGAGACTGAGATTCTTTCTAGGCATCTGTACAGGGTGTCAACAGAACAAAAGAGAGACAATAAAAGCTCAAGTGTCTTGTAACAAAAGATGAGCAGATTAATAGAGGACACCGGACATCTCAATTACAGCCCTACAAATGCATTGCCATGCCTTAAGAATTCTGAAGAGAGGGGCTGGAGAGATGGCTCAGCAGTTGAGAGTACTGACTGCTCTTCCAGAGGACCCAGGCTCAATTCCCAGCACCCACATGGCAGATAACAACTCTAAGTAACTCCAAGATCCGAAACCCTCACACAGACTCATGCAGGCAAAACACCAATGCACATCTAAAAAGAGTCCTGAAGAATTCTGAGAAAACTTTCAACTGCAGACTGTCACTCAGCTATGTAGATGAATAGATATGAGAAGATAGTGTGTACACCGTTCTAAAGACATGGGAACAAAGAGAGGAGAAAGTCCCATCATATAAGAAACATGGGCTCTAGCTTAAGAGAAGGATGCTGGCAAGGCTGGGATGGAAGCAGATTTCAGAACAACTGCACAACCGTCCCAGGCATCACAACATACAGCTCCAAGACCAATTCATTGAAGATTAGATTCATGAGTGTGTACCTGTGCGTATATTGAAAAGAGTTTAGAGATAGGTTAGGTAGAAAAGTGAAGCAAACAATTATAAAGGTGTTTAGGAAAGGAAAAATATTGCTACTTCATGGTTTAGCTTTACAAGACTGTAAGCAGAGGCTGGAGAGATGCCTCAGGGCTTAAGAGCCCTTGTTGCTCTTACAGAGGACCTGGGTTTGGTTCCCTGCACTGACAGGGTGATTCACAACTATTACTAACTTCAGTTCCATGGGACTCAATGTCTTCTTCTGAACTCTGGGCACTAGACATACATGTGGGACACATACATACATGCAGACTAAACACTCATATACATAAGACAAATCTTGAAAAACAACAAACACTGACTCAACCAAAGATGGATCCAGCTGTGTTAGGAGATGGGATGTGTCTACATGTATGAATGGTGTGTGTGTGTGTAAGAGAAGGAAGATCAGGGGAGACAGCAAAGGAGCAGAAAGAGAGACAGACACACAGAAAGACTACAAAATTTTCCTGTTTGATTACAATATGATGAATGCAACATTTAACATCAAATTTCCTTGGACACAGTTCTGAGATGCCAAGTGTTGGCATTTCGGTCGGATCAGGTCAGACAGGTATTCTGGCACTAGGGAGTGGCAGAATACTGAGTGTTACACAGCTCAGGTGGAAAGGTATCCTGGAGCTCGGGAGCCAAGGACCACCACAGGTTGCAGTAAGCTTAGCAGCTTACAGCCTTGCCTCAGAGAAAGGCTTCCTCAGTGTATTGGCTCTGCTCTGGCAGGACAGGGTCTTCCAGCTGGGGATGTTCGCCCAGTGTAGCAGTTTTGCTCCGCAGGAGGTTTCTCTGGCGAAGTTTCTACAGTTCAGCTCTGCTCCGGGAGAGCAGAGAGCAGAGTGTAACAACTCCGCTCTGCCAAGGGAAGGTTTCCCCAGCAAAAGTGTTACAGCCCTGCTGGCTCTGCTCTGTCTGCTTGCTCTGCTCTGCCCAGGGTCGCCTTTGCTCCATCGCTGCCGCTGCAAAAGAAGATCTTCACCCAAAGCTCATCGAAGGGGTTTATTGGGAGGGAAGAATCCAGGAGAGTGGCTGCCCTCTGCCAGAGTGGCAGAGGACAGCCTGGTAGCGCAAACAGCCACAAGCTGAACAGACACAGGGTTTATATAGGG